ACAAAAACCCATCTGTACTCCAGGCCTCGACAAGCGCTTACTTGCCTACCGCATCACCCCAAGCCTAAATCCTAAATCTGCAATGAGTCCTGGCTGTTTCCCCTCCAGCCACTCGTTATCCTGCCTTCCAGCGAACATGCCGTGACTCTCCTCTGCCTCTGAAGACAACTTTCTTACATCTTAAACGCGCTCCCCGTCTCTTGCCAACCACTAATCTGGGGTACCCGAGAAAGCGGGTCTGCAACCTCGTTCTTCGAGCCCTTTAGGTACTCGATTCGAGGAGACACCTGCTGAGCTCTGCCGTGAGACAAGTCGCCAAAATTCCAACATATTTGTCTCAACGGGCATCGTTAGCGTTAGTGAACAACCCGCTCAACGAATCCGTGAGACTCCCTGGGGACGACTAGAAGCAGAGGCATACCGAACGAGCCCCACGTTGAATGTGCCATTTTAATACTGGTTTCTTTATGGAGTTCGCTTAGCTACTAATAATCACCGCCCAATCGTTATGCGCTCCGCCCGTCACCCAGGGAGTGACATACAGCACCGAGAAGACAGCGAATAAGTTTACTACCTCACGGTTGCCCGTCGTTCGGAGCCAGCAGTCCAGGCACGCCGACCCTTGTTGTCGTCCGTCGATCAGAGCTCACAGTCAGAGTCAGTGTCCAGGCCTGCGGGTCGTCCTTCCCATGCCAGCGCTGCGTAGGCTGGCTGTCCCGGGCTATCACTGCCCGAGTCTCGCTGCAGAACCACCCCGGGATCGTCGTGGCCTAGGCTAGATGGCCAGGACTCGCCGTTTCTACCGGTCCGGTTTGAACCTCGCTGGTGGACCGCTCCAAGCCGGGCAGCCCGGCTCCGATGTTCCTGCCCAGCTCCAGCCTCGCTCAGCACGCACTGTCTCGCGCCAGCTCGTGACTTCTTTCTCCGCCGACCACCTGTCACGTGCCCTCTGCGTCGTCTTTCACCCTTGGCTCCCACAAAGTTAAGGAAAGGGAATGTACCATTATACTCAGTGAAGTTCAGTAAGAAGACCCGGGACTCGAGCAGGAATGCCGTTATCCTTGGTGTGACCCTACGAGACTCTCTTGCTGCTTTTGCTGGGGTTTATCTAACTGAAGTACCTGTCTGAAAAGTAGAAGAAACATATGTGCATAACACTCATTATTCACAAGAAAATTTGTCAACATCCAAAATGACCCATGGAGAAAATTATGTGAGGAATTTGTTGGCCACGTTGGCCGAGTCACCTCTCGTGGCCAATGTTTCATTGCAACTTTAATTGTAGTAAACAGTCAAAGGGTATATTACAAGGTGCAATTTGGTTTTGTGCAAACCTACAACGCACAAAACAGCACTCTAACACAGTATGTAGAGGTACCTCTAAACAAATTCCAGGGTTTCATGGAGCCTCCTTCAGATAACTGATGTTGAACATAAAATGTGTGCACCAAGGAGTGAGCAAACAGTGACTTCCAATTAGTCTCATACACCAGCGACATGTCGACAAGGAGTGCAATGTGTAGAATGTCGTCTAGAGGTGTGCAGCCAAGATGAAAAGGCGAGATATAACGATATCAGAATAAGATCACACCAAAAAGGTTCCGTTACAATCTAGGCACAGTAATGAGTCAACCGCCGTACAGCCGCGATTCACTTTGTGTTGAGGTGAAACATGGCCAACAAAATATAAAAAACGCGTTGTTTTTTTTTTTGTTTTTTTTTTTCTGTACATCATTTGCTCTGCGCCGTTGATAGAAGGACAGTTGGGCGGCGTCACAAAGTCACTCGCTAGCGCTTTTTCAAATTCGTTCATCGGCACTCATGGTATACCCGGGAGGAGAAAAGTACGAGCTCAGAGCCGAGCCGCCGAGCGTCGATTGCGGCTTTCCTAAAGAGAAGCTCCGGTACACTCCGGCGACTCGTCAGCTTCAAACGACGCCTCTTCGAACGAGCCTGACGCGCCCGCGAATCCAATGCGCCGAACGGGCGCGGCAGAAAGCACGCCGGAAGGAAGGGGGCTGGAGGCTGAGTATCCGAAAGAGACGCGGCGCTGGTTTCTACGTCTATTTCGCACATGAGATAACAAACTGGCAAAGCTAGCCGAGTGTGAACAGTGACTGACGTTACATTGGAGCACACGCAGTCGAAATGACGCCTGCAACAAAGCACAGCTGGGTGCTTTCAAGTTTCAACAGGGGACACAAACGTTCAAAAAGGCCTCGATTTAAAAACTTCACGTCTCCTTTCTGTCCTTCGGTGTTTAGTTTGATCCGCGTACGCCAAAGCACTCAATGCTGCAAGTAATAGAGTCGTGTATACGTACCTTTCGAAGCAATTGAAAGTGTGTAGGTTTCGCTCGATGCCCACGAGTACAGAGTGCGACGAACGCCAATCACGCCGGCTGGCCAGGCTGGCCGGGTCGCGCAACAAGTGGCGCAACCGACGCCCGTTCGCTGCGCACTGCGCATGCCCGTCTTGGCGAATCGCCAGCACGCCGGCATCGCGCCGGGCCAGCCGGGCTCGCGGGCTCGCTCCCTTCGAAGTTCGAACAGTTCAAAATCCAAACTGCTTGCGCGAGCGCGCGCGCGCGTGTTGGCGATGGAAACTGTCTTCTCGAGAACCGAGGCTGTAACGTATCGTTTGATGGCGCAAATGCACGTATTTTTCACGTCGTTTTTTGTACAGTGTGTGAATCTCGCGAAACAGGCGACGAAAAGTGGTGGGTGAAATGTGCTCGCATGTCGTCGTGGATTTTGTGTACCACGTAGGATTACCCAGAAAGGTGGGTCAATATCGATAAATGTGCGCGTAAGAAGCAACTACATGCACGTGACCTGTCAAACCTATTCACCCTCATTATTTTATCGTGCGAACCGACATTGCCACGTATCGTGTTCGATTTCGGTCCCAACACCGGTAACTTCGAACATATCGTGTTTGATGTTGTGTTTCTCGCCGTCGGTAACTTCGTATTGATATCGTATTCGGTCTGGTGGTTGTGTCTCAAGAGTCAACACCGATGGTTTCTTGTTGTATTGCGATGTTGTGTTGCAACATCGAATTGTATCCCGGTACGTTGGGTTTAGCGTTTGGCGATCAACTTTTGTTGCATTACAACTGCAATAAACATTTGTTGGAAAACAATCACTACAATGAGCACGTCGTTATTGGGCTTTGTCATTAAAAGGTAGGTCGCGGCGGGTGTTCCGGCTATAGTTATTCTGAATGGTTTGGTGGTTGTCCAGTTTCAAACGCGCGAGGCTGTGTGTACTGTGTGCCGTACTAACAGCTGTACATACTTGTACTGTCGATCAATGTTAATGTGTTCGCAACGCAGAACGTTTATACTATGTGTGTATCCACACCCAATATATTTCTCGCGTATTGTCGTGTGGATATGCCAACGTAATTCATGTTGGTAACTTGGTATCCGCGTTCTGAGATTCATGCGCGCGATATCATATTGTATTCTCCTTTGGTCCCATGATCGACGACCGATATTTGTATATCGTGTGGCCGTACAGTATGTCCATGTCGGTCACCAATATGCACGCGATGTCGTATTCTATTCCAATAACCGTGTATTATATCGGGGTATTGTGCTCCGATATCGTGTTGTATACGAATAACCGCAAGTTATATCGGGATATTGTGCTCCAATATCCTGTTGTATACCAATAACCGCATACTATATCGGGATATTGTGCTCCGATATGAATTCCCATCGTGCTTATTGGGTTAATCGGATAACAATACGTTTTTATTGGTTTCCATCATCTTCATTGGAATACAATATTTCCAATAAGCCGACTTCATATTGGCCTTTTTCAATAGGGAAACTGAGGCAAAGGGCGTAGTTTTGCTTCGAGGTAGAAACAGCGCCTGCGTTCAGATGTTGGCCGTCAAGTGAAAACGGACTTAGCTTGAGGGTTCAAACTGAACAGGTAGCAAGCTAGAAGGTTACTCATGCTTCAGTCGAGCTCATCTTGCACCAGAAAAAGCACAAGGGGAGAAAATAAAGAGTGTGGGGCCAGTTGTACTCTAGGGGCATGTATACAAAAAGCTCTGCAGGAACAAACCTTTTCCCGAGGTGGACAGCAGGGGCCTGAAGACATAAATAAAAAAGAAGTGACACATTTAACGAGTCTTCACTGCGCCAGAAAAACAAGAATCAGCTCATTTCTTTTTGAGACCTCAGACTTTATTTAGGTGTAGTATTTTGATTTGCACGAGATGGCGCTACTTGACATCTCCTTTTTAAAGTAGCCATCTCGTGCATCCATGTAAAAGAATAAAAAGGACAGCACGCGACGGCATGAGCCGCGCGTGATCTGCGGCCTCATCGGCCAGTGTTCGCCCCGCTCCTGAATCCGTAGGTTGTCCTTTCTTCTCGCTCCGGCGACCGTCCAGGTCCGCTCGGGGCATGTAGTTTCCCGGCTACGTCGAACGTGAGTCACCGGCGCTTGCGTCCAATGTAGCCAGGCTTTAAAGCACCGCCGCGTCGGCGCAGAATATAACATTTTGGCGACGAGGATGATTTCTTGACGCGTCGGCGTTGCATCTCGTAGAACCGTTCCGAAAAAAAGCCATCCTGTTTTCGCTGTTGGGCACTGAGGGCCAGCGCATCGTGGATGCATTTCAGCTGTACGAGACGGTTGCGGTGGAGGAGACTGACGAGTTCCAAGTTTTTCTGGAGGCAGTCGAGAAGCATTTTGAGTTTTCGGGTAGTATCGCGCTTGAACGCCAGAAGCTGCGCGGTTTGTTCCAACGTCCTGGCCAGTCGGTAACTGAGTTTCTTGCCGTGTTGCGCCATCAGGCTTCGTTTTGTGCTCTGGGGAACGCGCTCGATGAAAGACTTTGCGAGGTTTTCTTGGAAGGCCTGGAGTCCAGACGCGTTCAGGATCGCGTTCTGCAGGAGTGCGAGGGCAGCGAGCTGCCAACGCTGTCGCGGGCTATCCAGATCGCTCGCCAGTACGAGCAGAGAGCGAAGACGACCGCAAGTTTTCGGCGGCGAGAGTCGCAAGTCCCGGTCGCGGCAGAAGTCCAGCGTGTCCAGATCGAGAAACGTCAAACGGCAGCAACACAAGATGGCGGCCAAGCGTCGTCTTCTTTCATCGAGCATGGGCAAGATGGCTACAGCGGCTACCCTCCCTGGCCTCAACCTGGCTACCCCCCGTCGCAGCTTGGACCCAGGATGCCTTGGGCTCCGGTGGCCTCCGGTCACGTGCCCCGTTTTCCGGCGAGGGTGTTCCAGCCTCAGCGTGGGCGTGAGCCCGCTCCGCCTCGGACGGGTGGGATCGGAGCAGACGACGCCTGCTACTTCTGTGGACGCCGCCGTCATGATCGGGCGGTTTGCCCGGCGTCTCAAGCGACATGCTTCTTATGTGGAAAGTGGGGACACTTTGCAGTGGCGTGTCGGAGTCGTCGCCCGCCGGCGGCTGCCTTCACCTACGATCGGCGACAGGCATCGTTCCCGGTTCAAGGCCGTGGTACTCGGCGGACCTTCGCCGAAAGACAGTTCAGAGGGGACCGGCCCGGCCGGGTGAACGTGGTCGGCCAGTCGCTGTCTCCTGAGGAGCTGCCAAGCGTTAGGCTGACGGAGGAACCTGTGGTCGTCGGGACGGCCGAGCGACGAGAAGGCGGCAGCATGCGTCGTGACGCCTTCATGGCCGAGATCACGGTAAATGGGACCCCTCTTCGTCTTCTTGTTGATACCGGTTCATGTGTGTCGATCCTAAATGAACGCATGTTTAACGAAGTTAACAAGCAGCGGAGGATAAAGTTACATCCGCCGTCGACGCCTCTCGTCCACTATTTGCAAGAGACCATTCCGGTACTTGGATGTTTTGTGGGACAAGTAAATTTTAAGAACCGCTGGACAACGTTGGAGTTTTACGTAACCAAGACTGGACGTTCGTTACTCGGCATCGACGCGGTCCGTGAGTTGCAACTGGTGTTGAATGGCGCTAAACATGAGTGTTTGTATGCGAATGCAGCTCACGGAGGAGGAGCATCACAGCGGGATGTGAGGCCCATGCCCAACCCGCAGCGACGACCGTTCACCGCGTCGTCCTGTCAAGCATCGCAAGTCCCTGGTTCTCGACCAGCGGCAAGTTCCAGACCTTCATTTGCGGAGAACCCGTCTCCTGCTTCATCGGTCTCTGAAGAGACCACACCTAAAGTCTTCGAGGACGAGTCAAGTCCGCAACGTCATCCTGAGAGTCAAGGGCTCCATAGTCCGCAACGTCATCCTGAGAGTCAAGGGCTCCATAGTCCGCAACGTCATCCTGAGAGTCAAGGGCTCCATAGTCTGCAACGTCATCCTGAGAGTCAAGGGCTCCATTATCCACAACGTCATCCTGAGAGTCAAGAGCTCCACAGTCCTGAGAGTCACGGACTACACGGTCCACAAGATCATCCGGGGAGTCAAGCGCCCCAAGGTATGCAGCGTCATCCAGAGAAATCCAGTCCTTCAACGAGCCTTGTTGGTGGTTCCTCGAAGCGAGACGCATCCAAGTTGCCACCTGGCTTCGAAGATTTTGAACATCTTTTTAGCCCGGGGTTGGGTCTGCTGAAGAATCACTCGCACAAGGTCAAGGTGCGGCACACAGTTCCACCAGTCCAATCAAAGCTCCGTCGCCTCCCGATGACCCTAAGGGATCGGGTTTCCGAAGAAATTTTCAAGCTGGAGCGAGAGGGCGTAATTGAACGTGTCAAAGCCTCCGAGTGGGTGTCACCTATTGTTGTCGTCCGCAAGCCCGATGGCAACATCCGTATGTGTGTGGACCTACGAGCTCCGAACCAGGCCGTTGTCATTGATTCATTTCCACTTCCTTGCATCAATGAACTGTTGAACTCTCTACGGGGAGCGGCGATCTTCTCCAAGCTGGATTTGGCGTCCGCCTACCATCAAGTCCGTCTCGACCCGGTGAGTCGTGACCTCACGTCTTTCATTACCCACGAGGGGTTATTTCGCTTTAAGAGAGTTTGCTTCGGGCTGGCATCCGCACCCGCAGCTTTCCAGCAACTCATGTCCAAAATCCTAAAGGATTGTCCAGGCGTTCAGTTCTATCTGGACGATATCATCGTTTATGGATCCACTTTGAAGGAGCACGATGAGAATCTCCGTCGTGTCTTGTCTCGAATTTCCCAAGCAGGAATGAAGCTAAACCGTAAAGGTGTTTTCCAAGTACAGGAGCTCTCATTTTTGGGACACCATCTTTCCGTGAAAGGTTTAGCACCCCTGTCATCCAAGGTAGATGCGGTCCTAAATTTTGCAACTCCCTCTGATGCAGTGAAGTTAAGAGCATTTTTAGGGCTGGTAGAGTACTACAGCAAGTTCATCCCTCATTGTTCCACGGTCGTCGAACCGATGCGTCGTCTCCTACGTAAAGGAGTTCGTTTCAACTGGTCTCCGGAAGTCGAGGCCAGTTTTCAGAAAGTAAAGACTTCCATCCAAGAAGCTCCAATTTTGGCCATGTTTGACCCGACGTTGCCTATCGTCGTGGCCACAGATGCTTCTCAGTACGGTCTCGGTGCTGTTTTGCAGCAGCAGTATGGTAGCCAGCTTCGTCCTGTAGCCTTCGCGTCTCGCTCGCTAACTGATGCAGAGCGAAGGTATTCCACGGGCGAGAAGGAAGCTCTCGCATGTCTTTGGGCGTGTGAAAAGTGGCACGTGTATCTGTGGGGAAGGTCTTTTGTCATTCGTACTGACCATCAGGCGTTGGTCACGTTGCTGTCCAACAAAGGTTCCGGAATCCGTCCTCTAAGGATCACTCGTTGGTCCTCCCGACTTCTGAATTACAATTTCAAAATGGAGTTTCAGAAGGGCGCCACCAACGTCGTTGCTGACGCGTTTTCACGGTTGCCAGTGTCTGACACTGAGGAGGGCATGAGATTCGACGAGGAAGTTGTTTCCGTCGTAATGGTTCCTTTGTCGAAAGGCGGTTTTCAACAGGCTACGGCCAATGACATAGTTCTTCCTTCAGTCATCCGCTATACTACCTCGGTTTGGCCTGAAGATAGTAAAACCAATCCAGATCTCCGGCCTTACTATCACGTCAGAGACCAACTGTCGCTGTACGACGGTATTTTGTACAAGGGAGAAAAACTTGTCGTCCCTGTCGAGTTTCGAGACCGGATCGTGGAAGTAGCACACGAAGTTCATCAGGGGATCACAAGAACCACAAGTGTGATCCGGGAACACTACTGGTGGCCGTTGATGAATGAACACATAAAGAACAAGATCCAGAACTGCACGGTGTGCCATGCTACCGACAAACCAGTGAAGGCTGCACCGGCTCCCTTGCAGCCCATCCAGTTTCCAAGTCAGCCCTGGGAAAAGCTAGGAATCGACATCGTGGGCCCGGTTGATCGTGCACCGGCCAGTCAAAGGTTTTTTTTGGTACTCATAGATTACCACTCCAAGTGGCCAGAAGTTCAAGCCACGTCTTCTGTGACTTCTGCGACTGTCATCAGCTTTTTGAAGAACGTTTTTTCACGCGAGGGACTGCCCTGCGAGATTGTGTCAGATAATGGAGTACAGTTTACCTCCCATGAATTTCAAGATTTCTTGCGTCAACATGGCATCAAACATAGGAGAACGTCATTATACCACCCCCAATGTAACGGGCAGGTGGAAAGATTTAACCGAGTCCTGAAGTCGTGCCTTCAGTTAGCTGTTGTACAAGGTCGTCCACTTCCAGATGCCGTCCGAGACCACCTGGAAGCGTACCGACGTACGGTACATCCTGCAACAGGATTTGCACCACCCTTTCTCCTTCATGGACGAAATCATCGGTCTAGACTGGACGTACAAGGCATGCCGACTAGGACGGTACCTGACGATCTCTTGGAACGTCGAGCTCAGCTACATGGAAGAGTACAGCGCTATCAACAAAACATGAAAGATTATTCTGACCATCGTAGAGCGGTACGACACCCTCAGTTTCATCCTGGGCAGGCTGTTCGCGTATTCAAGCCCACCCATCACAACAAGTTGCGGAGTACATATACAGAACCACAACGGATACATGCACAGTTAGGACCTGCTACATATCAACTCGCTGACGGTAGGAAATGGAACGCAGCGAAGCTTGCAAAGTCTATACAGCTGCCTCCAGCACAAGTTCCTGACTACGGTTGGGATGATGATGATGACGAAGATGACTTGTATATACCTCCTGCAACTCCAGTGGTTCCTGTACTGACCCCTGTCCGTGGAAGCACTTCAACGTCCCAAGTACCAATTGTCTTTTCTTGCCCGGAGGGTTCCTGTAACCCCGCAGCGTCTGGTCTCTTGGGGAGACCCGGTTCATCTGCTGCACCCATGGCAGGTGCACCTCGCCATGCAGCGCTGGGTTCTCCCAAGGAGCCAGATCTGTTTGCTGCGCCAAAGTTTACAGTTCCGGTTGCTGCGGCAGAGTCTCCTGCTCCGGGTGCTGTACCGGGGCCTGTTCCTGGACCTGTTCCTGGAACTGTTCTTGGAGCTGTCCCTGGGCCTGCCTCTGTTCCTGGGGGCCCTGCTCCTGTTTCTGAAGGGAATCTCGGGTCGGCTGTACCCGACATGATCGGGATCTCTGCACCTGAGCTCTGCCCTGCTTCCGTGGCAGACGCTGGACAGTCTGTGGAGCCTGACAGGCTTGTCAGGCCTGTTCCTGAGGCTGCGGTCAGGCCTCTCCCTAAGCCTGTACTCAGGCATGTTCCTGAGGCCGAGATCAGGCCTCTCCCTGAGCCTGGTCCCGGTCCTGTTCCGGCGGTCAGGCCTCTTCCTGGGCCCGTGGTTGTTGCTGCTCCGGACGCTGTGCCAGGGTCATCACCAGAGTCCGTGGTTGCAGAGCAACTACCTGTCTCCGATCTGGCAGTTTGCCCAGACACACGGGCAGAACTGCTCGTTTTGCCGTCGCCAGAAACGAGTACGCCATCTATGCCTCCACTTGAGGATTCAGTGGAAGAACTCACGACCGAGTTCCACACATCACCCACGATCTCCGAGCCATCTACAGCTCCTCTACCACCAGCGAGGCAAGGTCGGCCAATACGCCAGAGAAGACTTCCGCTGAAGTTCAAAGACTATATTCTTGCACTTGGCGATGATAGTTTTCAGTCAGATTCGGAGTACAGTGACTAAGACTTTTGTAGTTATGTTTTCGTAAAAGGTCATTTTTGGTATAAACTTTAGGTAGATATAGAACATTAAAAGCATATCACTGTTATAGCAAAACCTTGGCCAAGGTTAAAATGTCCATGACAAACACAATATTCTAAACAATAACCAAACTAACAGTCAACACTACAATGTGTCATGGACATTAAAAACGGAAATAGAAATACAAATCATAGTAATACAAATGTACTCAAATAGGTATGGTTGGATGTTTCATTTTTCTCCCAGGAGAAGGAGAGATGAGAGTGCTCTAAGTTGAAATATGAATCTTGGAATGAAATTTTGATCGTCACGTGACTAGTATGATGCAACCTGAACTTTCAGTGAAAACCCGTTTTGTTCGGATGACTTGTTTAGGATTTTGTTGAATTTTCCGTGTCGTGCACACAAAGAACGTTTATGAACAATCTTTTGAGAATTTCATTTTTTTTGTGTTTCAACGAACAATTTCAAAACCAATATTTCCAGTGAAATAACGCAATTTTCGGGTGGTGAAGTGTTTTGATTTTCGTTATTTTTTTTCACATAACGAATGTATAACGCAAGTCTTCCTCCCACAATTTTCTTATTTTTTTTTAAGGGAGGGAGAATGTAGTATTTTGATTTGCACGAGATGGCGCTACTTGACATCTCCTTTTTAAAGTAGCCATCTCGTGCATCCATGTAAAAGAATAAAAAGGACAGCACGCGACGGCATGAGCCGCGCGTGATCTGCGGCCTCATCGGCCAGTGTTCGCCCCGCTCCTGAATCCGTAGGTTGTCCTTTCTTCTCGCTCCGGCGACCGTCCAGGTCCGCTCGGGGCATGTAGTTTCCCGGCTACGTCGAACGTGAGTCACCGGCGCTTGCGTCCAATGTAGCCAGGCTTTAAAGCACCGCCGCGTCGGCGCAGAATATAACATTAGGCCAAGAATACAATTTTTCAGACGAGCTGTCTCAATGTAAAAACACACTTCCTTATTAGTACCCTTTTGACACACAAACAGTCCTACCTGGTGCGAGACCCTTCACCAACAATTTGATAGTTGTACGTACCTATAATGGTTTTCTAATTACGAGCGAGCGGCAGCTCTTTGAAGTCTTGCTCGCGCTCTGGTGAGCCTTCAAACGACT